GAAAATTTCTTGTTGACTCAAATTATATGGATTATCTCTTCACAGATTACTGCCCTGGGAAGTTTGAAAGCTTTGGTTGCAAACTCACCTTCTGTTTGCCGCCTTTGAAAAAGAGTACTACAAATCAAGAATCTAAATTCATTTATGATTTGTTATATCACAAAGGATGAGATTTGAGAGTTCAAAAGATGTGGCAAGGTGAAACACGGAGAATGTTTCAACGACCTTGGGGTTAGTATTGACGTGCAGAAAGGCTGGAAGGCAGGACAAGTTGCATTAATTAATCTGTCCGATATGGATCTTATGGTTGGGAAGATTTCACTAATACTGAAAACTTAAACCAACGTTGACCCATCAGTTGCTGAATTCAAGCAGGTTTATTTCCTTTTAAAGGCGTTAGAATAAGTTGCGAGCAATTTCTTTGGGCTAGCGCATGCTGTTGAATAATTAGCCGATTCTTTATCCATCTACAGACATCAATGAATGCCAGGAGCGGGATGGCATCTGTACTCCACGCCACGCTCGAGGAATCACATTTAGTTGTGTAAACCTCCATGGTTCCTACCGCTGTGTCTCCGAGCGCTGCCCATCTATGTACGTAAAACAAAAAATTGCGAATGGCTACAGGTACGGAACACAATATCACGTGTCCCTCGAACTTTATTAGCAATGTCCTACTTTGATTGACTGATCTTTTACAGGTGCTCCTTAATGCCAGAATATGAATGCACTACGTTTGATCCCTACTGTTTGAAGGACCGACCACTCCGAATTGATCATCTGCACATCGAATTGCCCTCAGTTTTGAAAAAGCGACTGGTTCTGGGCGAGCTGGATTCGTCAGTGATCAAACGCGGTACCGTGAATGTTGAACTACTGGAACACTATGCTTACGACACACGCACAAAGCGGCACATATCTGTAAAGAATTCTTTGAAAGTAAGTTCCTTTTGTCTACGTGACCAGGGTAAGCATTGGCGCCCTAATGAGCATTTTAAACTGAATTACAGTTAGCTGTGAAAGCTTCCGATAGAAGAACGGTGGAATTGCTATTGGTGAGACCGATTGAACCACCAGCGGACATATTCGTCTCCGTCCGCCTATCTGAAATGATTGGACAGAGAAGCAAAGTCCGATCCAACACAAGATTTTATCTCTACGCAACTGAAAATAACACCTTAAATTCAACCTCTATCAGCAACGACATTGATGAGTGGAGGAGCAAGAAATGATGTCAGTACTACCTTCACTGGTCAGGTGCCACCGTGTGTGCCCATTCCTCATATTGCACAAAAGCAGCCCGATCGAAAGCTCTTCCATTCTTCTACTATTGATGACGGTACATTCACTAGCTCCATTTTACTGACACCAGCTCCGGTGCCGATCCACGCTTTTCAAATGATACAGCTCGCCATTTTAAATGAAATGTCAACAGGTTACTATGACATCAATAAATATTGTTTTCAAAATTGTCTTGATCGTGTGTATTTCTAATTTACACTGAAATTTTACTGTTGCTTCACAAATACCTCAAGCCGAAAACTTTTAATCCTTTGAAATTCGCAACACAGGACGTTTCTCCAGGCTGGCGCAACTACTGATAGATTGAGGAGCACAAAGGGTAATGAATGTCATATTTGTGCTTTCAACTTCCCTTGCGAATAATACTGATAACACATTAATAAGAAGGGGTTAATGACTTCCTCTTTTGCCTTAAGCAACTTCTGAAAGAAATTAGCAAAGTATCGTATTAAAAATAAAATTTTGCTCAAAAATTCTCAGCTTCGTGCTACACCTAGTTATTCTTATTGTGTTGGAACTATGTAACAATTTGCAGAAGTAATGCACCCCAACCTCGCAAATCCACTTCAC